AGCATCTCCACTGATTTTTAACACCACACAAATTAATTTTCACCATAAATCCATTTGCATCGTTTGCATGTGTTTGTCGTGTTGTTTAGAATTTTGACTTTCTTTTTAAGTTTGTTGGACATGGACACATATCTTTTCATGGATGAGGTTTCTAATGAGCAATCCTTTCATGTCACTATCTTAATTCTAATGGGTTTCGGTCAATAATCAAGATTAGCGAAGATAAGTATATATGTTTCTCGAGTTGATGAAAGGAAACCAGGACCAGTATTAGATAAGATCTTACTTCTGTCTGACAGTTTCCATTAGTAAGCCGTCCGAAACACACTTTAACTAAAAAAAATAAATAAATAAATAAAAACCCTCCTTGAGAACACTACAAGAAAAGTCCTTATTAGTGACTAATTTTTAGTGACGACCTAAAATTTGGTCACTGAAAGCATCTATTAGTCACTAGAAATTAAGTGGTCACCGAATTTTGGTAATCCTACAAATTTAATGACGAATTATATGTGGTGGTCACTAACTCGGTCACTAAAATGCAAAAAAATTAAACTGCTTTTGTTTCATATCATAACAACTATTTAGTGACTAAAAATAATGGTCACTATGTTAACCAAGGTTGCAGAAATCGCTCGACGTAGGCTCGGCGGTGGACTGGGGTCAAGGGATTAATCAACTAGGCGGGGATTAATCGGGGACTTTGAAGACTCTGATGAACTAGAATGCATTTTCATCAGAAATATAAATAAGATGCATTCGACATACATGAGCATATGGTATGCAATTCAGATTCTTGAGGGATGAAGAACTAACCTGCAATTATAAACCAATTTCACCATTATGCAAAGGACTGGAATTGGATACTAACATTCAATTGGAACTTTAACACATTAAAAACAAATTAACACATTAACAATCAACCAAACATTATCAATCAAATTAATACACATTAACAATCAACCAAACATTATCAATCAAATTAATAGTTAATAGGAGCATATTTGAACAATGAGTTTTATAATCACTCAACTTAACAGTTAACATGTTATGCTTAAATGAAAAACATGACTCAACCTAACTTACAAATGTTTAACATGTCTTTAACAGTTAACAGGTTATGCATATGTGCTTAACATTTAACCTGTTAAATAGGGAGGATAACTCAAATTACAAAACAGCTTAATAGTTAATTAAACAAGGAGAAGTGGTCAGAGGAGAACTCAAATCGCAAAATTAAACTAGCACAAGTGGAGAATTAAACAAGTCGATTCCTGTTCCTTCCAATTAACCCTCCCTATAATCACTAAACAGTCAATTAAACAAGGAAAATTGGAGAATAACCTATGGTCGGAGAACTAAAATATCAAAACAACGACATCGGTGTAGACGTCGATACCGAATGTGGTCGGCGTTCAATTTAGATGGATTGTGGTCGACGATGGATTGTGAATCAAATTTCATTGAGACAAAATATCAATCAGTTGGTGTGCACCTGTTGTGACAGATTCAATTACAACAAAAACATTGATTCAATTACACTACTATGTTACAATCCTTCAGAATTTGTGATTGAAGAAAAAACAACGAGATTGAAGAACAAACATTGAGATTGAAGAACTAACCTGCGATGGAGCATGATAGTTGAGTCGACGATGGAGAAGAGGTGGAAGGAAAATGACGATGCAGTAATGATGGTTAGCACAATTGAAGAACGAACTGGAGATGGAGCATCAATGGAAGGAGTGTGGGAAACGAATGGAAGAAGAAACATTTGCGATTCAGGGGTGTCGACACTTCAATCTGGAACAACTTCTGCAATCATTCACCTTCATCGTCGATCGCGTCATCACGTTTGCCAAGTGGATACCTTTGATTCAACCTCATCTTTCTTCGATGACTAATGTCTAACAGCAGCATGAAAACAGTCGATGGGGAAGAACGTAATGCAAAGGAAATATATTGAAGAGTAAGAGTTTGAGCATCCCACATCGAACCTAGAAACATTTTATCAAGGAAACGATATTCTATAAAAGGGAATCCTCAATACGAAACCAAATGCAATTAGTTTTAGGCAAACTGGCTCCTTTGAGCTGGTGGGGTCCTTTACAGTCAACTGGATCGATTAGGTCCGATTCGGTTCGAGTTGGGCCAGTTTTGACCGATATTGACCAAGGCCGCCTAGCCTAACCCTCTAACACCTATTCATAGGCAGTTAGAGGTCGCCAAGCGTCTAGGCACCGATTAATCGGCCGCCTAGAACGATTTTTGCAACCATGATGTTAACTATATAGTGATTAAGAATAATGGTCAATATGTTAGAAATTTAGTGACAAAAAAGTGGTCACTGTATTGAAGGTTTAGTGACCAAAAATAGCGGTCACTACTACTCTTGTTCAAAACTATACGCTACTCTTTAAATTAAATGTAATGTGGAAAAACAATTAGTGACCACTCAATAGTGGTCACTGATGAATTACAAGAAAAAAACAATTAGTGACCACTAAGTAGTGGTCACTGACTATATATATTTGAAAAAAGTTGAAAAAATAAAAAGAGAAACACGTTAGAAAAAGTACTAGTTGTATTTATATTTTGACTAAATAAGGAGACTTTCTTAGGTACAATTAAGGAGACTTATTAACCCCACTACCAAAACGTCAATAACATATACTGTATGCCACAATCTAAAAAAAAAAGAAGAAAATTGGTATTCTTGCAATAAATGGTTTCTAGATTAATTGGTAAATGATGTTACAATTAAAATGAGAATCAAAAGAACACTATTGTAAATTGATCATAAAATTGCTAAGGCTTCTCATTGGACAAATCATGCCAATGTTGATTCCAGGTCCCTTATCACCTGACATTAATATTGATGTCTACCTACAACCTCTAATTGACGAACTAAATGAGTTATGGGTTGGTGTAAATGCTTACGATGCACTTAGAAACGAAACTTTTACATTACGAGCAACCCTTTTGTGGACAATAAATGATTTTCCAGCATATGGTATGCTCTCTGGTTGGAGTGTTAAGGGTTACAATGGTTGTCCTACATGACATCATCTCGTTACTTGACTCATAGTAAAAAAATGTGATATATGGGTCATCGAAGATTCTTTCCATCCTCAAACAAATGGCGTAGGGATAAAAAGAACTTTGATGGGACGCTGGATATGCGGCAACCATTGACTCCAAAGTCTGGAAATTAAATTTTGGCTGACGTTGATATGTTTTCTAACTCAAGAAAACGTAAGTCTAGAGAGGACAAACAAGGATGGAAAAAAGAAAATTATGTTCTTTAAGCTTCCATATTGGGATAAACTAAAATTGAGACACAACACGGATATCATGCATGTTGTTAAGAATGTGACAGAAAGCTTGACCGCCACATTGTTCAATATTAAGAATAAAACAAAGGACACATGGAAATCTCGCAAGGATTTGATGGATAAAGGTTTAAAGAAGAGCTTACATTTACAACCAGATGACAATTCATTAATAATGCCTATGGCTTGCTACCATTTCACAAAGGAAGAGAAACGAAAGAAATTAGATTTCTTGAAGTCACTTAAGTTCCCGGATGGATTTGCCTCGAATATATCTAGATGCATTAAGGGGGGGGGGGGGGACTTCCAGTTGTCACGCATGAAAAGTCATGACTTTTATGTTTTCATCCAACGGTTGTTGCCTTTATCAATTAGGGGTTGTTTGACAAAGGAAGTTCGACTTGTGTTGTACGAACTCAGCGAGTTTTTCCAGAAATTATGCACACGAAGTATGTACCTATATGTTTTAGAGGAACAAGAGGAAAAAATTGTTCTCATATTATGTAAGTTGGAGCGGATATTTCCTCCATCATTCTTTGACACCATGGTTCATCTTTTGATTCATTTGCCATATGAAGCTAAGATCGCAGGTCCACCTCAATACCGTTGGATGTTCCCTTTTGAGAGGAAAATGGGTACTTTAAAAGGATATGTCAAGAACAAAGCTCGTCCAGAAGGATGTATTGCTGAGAGATACATAGACAAAGAATGCCTAAATTTTTGTTCTATGTATTTGAATGATGTTGACACGCTTTTCAATAAGGTTGAGCGCAACAATTAAATGATGGATAGTGATGGTGAAATTTCCGTTTTTCATGAAAAGGGCGCCCATTAGGTAGTCCAAAATCTCAGGATTTGAGTGAAAATGAATTGGAGAAGATTCATAAATATATTCTAAACAATTGTCATGAAATAAAGGAACTAATAAAGTAAGTGATTCTTTTTATGTAATGATATTTTTCATTTTTTTTTTCATATAATAACAAGTCTTAATTTTTAACTTTTTAGTTCACACAAAGTTGAACTAGAGGAAGAAAACGCTGACAATGTAAATGAACGTCATGAAAAACAATTTGCATCATGGCTTCGCCAACATGTAAGAACTACATTTGATGTTTATTGTTTTAAAATTTAATATGGGAGTTTTAAACTCTTGTTAACCAATATGTTATATATTTTTATTTAGGTTAATTCTTGTCCACAATTGTTTGAATACGAAACTCATATATTGTCGCATGGGCCATCACGTTATATCAACCAGTATAGTGGATGTTTGGTCAATGTGTATAGGTTCCACACACAAAGTCGTGAGAAGCATCGAAAAACTCAAAATAGCAGAGTTGTAGTGCAAGGTGTTCATGGGAAAAACATTATTGATTTTTATGGGATATTACAAGAAGTGTTAGAAATTGAATACTTGGTGAAAATAAAAGAGTGTTAGAATTCAAGTGTGATTGGTTTATGGTCAGTAATAAGAAAGGGCTAAGAATTAACAAAGAATTCAAAGTTAGAAGTGTGAATACATCCAAAAAATGGTACATAGATCAACCATACATACTTGCATCACAAGCCAAACAAGTTTTTTATGCACCTGATTTAAAATTGGGCAAAAATTGGTATGTGGTTCAAAGTACTGCCCCTCGTGCATTGTATGATGTTCATGTAACGATGGAAGAAGTACATCAAGAACAAGAGCCACATCTAAATCCAACTGTTGATTTGAATATGGACAAATTATCCTTAACAAGAGATAATGTCCCATTAGAAGTGGTGGATGCCTTAACCATTGCATTGCATGATATAACTCAAAAAAACATGTACAAAGGCAAGTACATCAAGGACAAGAGCCCATTCTTAGTAAAGGTATTTATATTTTATGCTAAAATGGATAATGAATCAATTGTCCAATAAAATGAGGGAATACGATAAAAATATTTTTACTCATCGATTTTACAATTACTTAAACAGGTGCAATGGAAGGCATAAATAAAATGGTAGCAAAAGAATAAAGGTTCAAAATAAAAGTTCAACCTTTATGTTGTTTTTCAAGTTCAGAATAAAAGTTCAGCCTTTTTGCTGTTTTTCAAGTTCAGAATAAAAGTTCAGCTTTTGTGTTGTTTTTAAGATTAGAATAACGACAATGTACTTCCCTTTTCTTATTAATGCAATTTATCTACAACATAAGTATGTATTTATTTGATCTTTAGTTTAATTTCATTTCTTTATCTTCTTTCTTCATACTTTGATAATGTATGATTAAACACATTTATTCACTAATTTATTTAAGTATTTGTTCTTGTAGCATCTTCAGATTTGCATCAGTCGAAAGAAGATTGTCTCTAGTGAAAAGGTAACCTTTAATTTATAAACTTGAAGCTCCCCATAACATAGTACTGTCAGATGACAAAGATCTTTGGACAATGCCACCTGTCAACAAGACTAATTTATAAACTTTTAATTTAGCTATAAGTTGTTCCACCCTTTTTGTTGAGACAAAGTATTTCATTTTTAATCCTATGCAGTTATGTCGGGAATGACTCCTAAAACATTATCTGGAAGACCATTTGTATCTATTCGAACACGAACAGGACAAGCTGTGCCGCCTACTGGCAACATACTTAGTCAAAATAGGTAAAAAATTTACCCAACTTCTTTCGTATAACTTTCCATGTAAAATGGAAAATTAAATTAAACGTAACTTTTAAGGGTAAAATGGTAATTTTTTTTCATACATTCCATGTAAAGTGTTGTTATGGATAAATGCGGACCTACCACTTGTTGGATTACCATTATGTTATGAGAAGCCTAATTATTTTCCACAAAACGATGATTTTAGTAAAAAACTTGTTCATTTAACCATGTTTTAATCTACTATTAAATTTAGTTCTAGTAAAACATTAAAACATTGGTAAAGTTTAGTTTCTTTAACATGCAAGAAATAGCAATGTACTTTTTTACTTTGTTTGTTATAGCATCATACTCTCATTTCTTCTAATAAAAGTTTGCTTTGTATTTGGTTAACATTGGTATTATTGGGTATATATTTTTAAAGAATAAAACTACGATGTCTTAATAAGAAACAACTGAAAGTACAATGCTGTAATAGAAAAAAAAATTACATTAACTTATAGGCTATAGCACACAAATATATTCAACCATAAGATTTACAAATGATTATTTTTTTACATAATTGCACTGTCTTATTAAGCATTGTACTTTAACAACTCATTTCAATAACACCAGAACAATCAACTTACATTAACTTTATGTATTATATTAATGATTGTATTAGGGCCCGAGTGTTGTTTTTAGTGAAATTATATGTAACCTTACAAGTCTACATTTTTAGGTTTACAAAGGATATTAGACATGTAAATAAAGATATGGGAGGTCAAAATGAGGCATCTAACCTTCGTGATGAAGTAAGCAATCAACTTACATTAACTTTATGTATTATATCAATGTATTTTCTTATTTTTACTTTTTTATAGCAATGTATAATGGTATCGGTGATTTTGAATTCCAGAAAGTACCATTTAAATGTGAAAAAAAAAATTAATTTCAGAAAAGTACATTGCTATTTAAGAATATAATGTCTTTTATGTACTCTTTATGGTCTTGTTTGGTATGCAGTGTTTGACTAGACATTTGATGGATCAGAAAAGATATCGGGGAATAGAGAAGCCAAGTCAACAAAAGTTGAAGAATACTAATTTTTCAAAGATGGTATTTTCTCAAACTTTGACTTTTGATAACAACACTTTACATGGAATTAAAAATGTGTGTTATTGTTATTTAAATGGTTGGCCCTGAGATCTGACCTTCAGAAGTCACTTTCTCCTAAGATACCTACTAATCTCATGTTGCAAGATGAAGAAATGCATACCTATGAAACAATGGAGTCACTTTCTCCCCATCAAAGTCATATGAGAAGAGTTTCTAGTTTGAACCACGATGAGGAAGATTATGAAGAAGAGGAACACGGAGTTGATTCTTTTCGAGATGAAAACATTGGTTCAACTTCTCATGGTACGTGGATTTGAAGTAAGATAGTATGTGATTAATGTATATGATTATATAATCAATCAATTTTCTTGTTGACTAAATCTATGTAGGCATGTCTAATACTCGAAAAGAATCTAGAGCTTTGAATGAAACTAAAAAGTGGCGCTCGAATAAGGCAAATTTAGTTTTTGAAGTTGATGAATGTACTGGTCGTATAGTTGGGGAAGATAGTCAACAAATAATCACTAAGGGTGGGTGTGTAGTTAGAGATCATGCAAAATTTGATGGAACCACTTGGAAAAACCAATCAGATTTGTTGAAGTATGATATTATCACTAAATGCATGGTATGATGTTATCAACTCTCTATTTTAATATTTATTATGCTTCATGCAAAAGTTTCTTTACAGAAACAATATACTTTCATTTCGTTCTATTATAGCATTGTACTTTCATTTCTTTTATTATAGAATTGTACTTTTAAAAAAGACAATGTACTCCAAAAAGTTTCTTCAAAACTGTACAATCATGTAATAGAAAGCAATGAAAGTATGATGTTATAATAAACAAATAAATGAGAATACATTGCTATTTCCTAACAGTATGTGTTCTCTTAAATGAACCTTTATGTAGGGAAATTCAACTTATGATCCAAGTTGTCGCTCGATGGTGCGTGCTATCGATACACAACTGGCGAACCAACATAAAAACAGGGAATATAGGTTGCACCTTCATTTCAAAAAGTTCTCTACAAAAGAGGAAGCAATCAATCATCCTCCAAATGGTGTAATCAATGTTGATTGGGTAAAACTATGTCAAAAATTTGCAAGTGAAGAATTTCAGGTTTTTACTTCTTTGCCAAATTATATCAAGAAATTGTAAAATGACATAAATGGTCATTGAGTTTTTACTTTGCATAATTATAGAATTGGTCCCTGTGTATTCAATTTGTAGAATTATAAAATTGGTCCATGTGTTTTTTGGTTTGGAAAAATGATAGAAACAACCCTTGTGTTTTTTATTTTTCAAAATTTACAGAAATGGTCCCTATGTTTTACTTTGTAGAATTACAGGAATGGTCCCTATGTAAAATACTTCGCATAATTACAAAATCTCCATGTTTCTTTACATTTTGCATGATATAATCCTTTTCACTTCTTTAATTGTTACAGAAAGTTAGCATTAGAAACAAGAAGAACAAATCATTTAATCAAGTTCCACCCGCAGTTGGCACAATTTCAATTGCAATGATTGTTGACATGGTAAGCAACTTCTTTAAAACTTAAATCTTTCATTGCATTGTCATAGTTTTCTTCCTCTAGTTCAACTTTGTTACAAATATATATATATATATATATATATATATATATATATATATATATATATATATATATATATATATATATATCTTGACAAACTTATGGTGAGCAACCTTTTGAAAACAGAAAAAGAAAGAAGGAGAAGAAGTATCATTCATTGAACGTTACAAGATTGGACATTTTTCGAGAAAGAAAAATCAAATGATCAATTAGAACGTCGGAGAAATTTGGGTATTTTTAATATCTTGACATACTTACGAATAATTTTTGTTTTACTTTTAATCTAAATTGTTTTGTTATGCAGAATGAATTTCTAAATGAGGAAGCTTCTTCTTCTTGTTCGCCGGCTGAAATATGTATGAAAAAACTACATCGTATACCGGGATATATAAATGGGCGTTCTGTTTCGACAAAACAAGTTTTAGGCACAGAAAAGTTACAAATGGAACTGGAATTGGAAAAGGAAAAATCAAAAGCCTTGGAGGAGGAAATTCGTGTAATTAAAGAAGAGCAACTACAATTTCAAGAAGAGTAGATCAAATATCGAGAGGTGCAAAATAAGAAAATGTAATTTATGATGAGTGAGCTTTCACGTTTATCTCAATTGCATTGATCAATTGAACTTACTTTTCTTATTAAATGAACTTCACCCGGTTGATCTTTATATGTTTTATGTTTGAAATATTGGATAAAATGTTCGGATTTTTTTTAAATTGACATTTAATTTTCATATTATAAATGTGAAGATTTATTTGGTTATTGTTGTATTGTAAAAATTTATAGGATTGCTTTTTCTTTTGTCTAATTGGATATTGTTATATTTCATATTAAAAATGACATTTAATATTTCAATAATTTCTTAATTATTGACCCCTTTTTGTGTCTAATAGGATAAATCAGTGATGACCTGGTATAGTCACTAATCGTATTAAACAGTGACCACTTTCTATGGTCACTAATTGGATTAAACAGTGACCACTTTCTATGGTCACTAATCGGATTAAATAGTGACGACTTTTATTGATCACTAAGTAGATAAAATATTGACAACTTTAATTGATTAGTGACAACATTTAGTGACGAAGTGGGTCGTCACAGATTTAGTGACGAGTATATTTTAGTCACTGTTTAGTGACCATATTTATATTTGGTCACTAAATCGGTTTTGTGACGGACCTATAGTGACGAAAAGTGACGACCGGAATTTTCGTCACTAAATCATTTAGTGACAATTCATTCTATTGTTAGTGACCATATCGTTTTGGTCACTAATTGGCATTTTCTTGTAGTAGAAGAAAGAAGTTGGTAATTACTTATGATGGAATTTAGATGAAATTAACAACCAATTTCCGACATAATATTTTTGTCGCTAATTACCCACTCATTTTTAGTGGATTTGCGGTGTGATTTTATCCAACGGATTGAGTTTTAAGTTTTTGATAGATTTGTGATAGAACTATGGTTAGCCTATTTTCGACGGATTACTGGCAAAATGCTTTAGTGGCGGTCTTTACGTGTAGATTTCCAACGGTAATAGTTTCCCATATTCCGACGGATTATGAATGGAAGCTTAGTGACAGTTTTTATATATGGCAGTTTTCAATCGATATATTATTGATGAAATGGTGGTATATATAAACAGAAAAATATAAGTTATGCTTACCATTGTCATTACAAGAATTTTGATTTACAACCACACATTTTAAAGCCTAAAGAATATGACCATATCATATAGTCACACTTTTTTTTAGTCAAAAGTATCTTATGACCACATTGAAACTCAACATTTAAAAGTGTGACCGTAGCATAAAAAAGGGTGGCTATTTTGTATGAACTTAATCAAGGATTGTATCGAATATGTGGCCGTAAATACTTTTTTGAAACAAATTGTAGGTGCGCATATGGCGACAACAATTTATTTGTTAGTGTGACATTTTCTAATATTTTTGTGACGCATATAAAAAAAAGTATAATGATAACCTACTTTTTAGTCACATATAAATTGAGACAAATTTATTTTTAACCATGGTTATTTTATATTTGATGTAACTATTGCTTACCCTTTAGTTACATTAATTTATGTTAAAGCGTGACGTGTGATATCATTTTGTCACATAAATAAAAATCATAAAGACAAAAATGTGACCATCATTTGATATTAGTGATATTGTTAAATGTGACTTCATTATTTGGAGCATTTTCATGGAGTAATTGGGTTAAATGGAGCACTTAGAACTCAATGGAGCACTTGGGGTTCTTGAAGATTGTGAGGAAGGAACAAACCTTCTAAGAAAGGAATGTATCATCAGGCAAAGGATCGAATCAAGTGACAAAGGAACGAGTCTTCCAGAAGGTGGTTTGGAGTAACTTGGAGTGTCTTGGAGCAAATTGGAGTGACTTAGAGCAACTTGCAGCACTTGGGGCAACTTGGATCAACATGGAGCATCATGTTGCAGCATCTAGAAGGAAGTTGTGCCATCCTTAGGGATGTTACGCCAAATGATAACATGATGTGCCATCATATCTGAAGTCGCACCAAGGTGATGTTGAGCCAAGTGAAGATGTTGAGCCAAGGATATGTTGACCCATGAAGATGTTCACTACAAGAAAACAGGCCTTTAATGACACGCAGTTTATGATACGTATTGATTTATGATACACAAAAGTTTGTGACCTAAAAATAATGTCATCTCTCTAGAAATTTTAAGGATTTAGGACGCATATTTTTGCGTGCCCTAAAATTAGTGTCTAAACAAAACAAAACAAAAACAAAAAAAAAACAAAAAAAACAAAAAAAAAACACGGAGGGCACCTATAATAAAATGTGTGTCGTCTAAGGATGTCGTTCTATAATTTTTTAGTGAAAGGCGCATTTTCCATCCTTTAATAACTAAACGTGAAATGAAAACCCAAAAGTTAAAAAATCCCACTTGTTCTCCTCTCCCTTGTTTCCACTGGTCGAAAATCACATTCTCCTTTCCATGTTTGACCTAATTAATCAATCGTCCTTCCATCTCTGCCCATGACCTAATTGAAAATCGCTTTTCATCATCATCATCTTCCAATTTTGACGACAATGATCAAAGTCGAACCTCACAACCCCGATCTTCTTCTTCATCCTGTTATTATTTCAGTGATGTGAAATCCAGTCTAAAATAAACACGTCAACAACCTTGCAGGCCATCTTTCTTGAGCTCTAATCCTAGTCCCCATGATGAGTCGACTCAAAAGGAAAAGGTCTCTTCTATGGAAGACATCCGAAAAAGCCTCTCCGACTATCGTCTCAGATCCTCCGTCCAACCACAACCACAACAGCCTTCCTCACCAGTTATCTCGTTCCACGAGCTCTACAAGCGCAGTGTATTGCCGGAAGCTAATCCAGAGAATGACACCTAAACTGCTCCATCTCTTGACACAATCCCCAGATGATCCTGTTGCTCGTGAAGTAAGTCAAAATAAACTCTGTTGGTCAATCCAGTAGTTTCATTCTAAAAAATTTCTTGTTGCGATTTAGATATTTTTGTATTAGTTTTATAGTTATTTTTATAACTTCTTGTTCATTCTTATCATTTGTTTCTTCACATCAGACAACTTCCGAATACTTTCTAAGTGGTTTTGTTGGGGGTAGTAGTAACCTTAACAAAATTGGAAGAGTACACCAAGGTAGCATCTATGATTGTAGATCTGACCAAGGTAATGATCTTGCCATTAGAAGTTTAGCTATGGTCAGTGTGGCCTAAAAAGTTCTATGCTTGTAATCATATTTGATGACCTTATCGTGTTTTTTATGACAATAAATGGAATATTCAAATAATTTTGTCCACATTTCTTGTCTATTGGCTAACAGATGTCAAATAAAATGGACTTTGATGCAGAATTGAAATTGTGAATATTGGGCCAATTATTAAGTTAACTGCTATCTCTGAGATGGAGGCAGCAATTGATGTAATATCAAATGAACTCAACAAATTGTGCATAGGAAGGGCATCAACAGGTTCTTATAGTTTCTCGATTTTGCTAAAAGCTTGTTCCTGATTACTCTATTTATATTTCCTTATTTTTTCAGTTTGTATGTAGGAATGCATGACCATATCATTAACTTTCTTTTGAATAAGGGAATCATGACAGAGTTCATGGAATGTTTAAAGGCTTGTATCTTGATACAAATAGATTTAAAAATTAAGTTGATAGAGTCAAGTTTTTTAATATGTGGATTTAAAGAAGAATTAAGTTTCATATTTTTCGGATGTGGTAGGTAAAGCCTTAATCTATATTAACTTTCTTAAAATAATTTTAACAAACCAAAAGCATAATTGGGGAAAAGCATGATATATTTTTCATGGTAATCAAGTAAGTATTTTCCTTATAAAAGAGTTTAATAAACAGACAATAAGGTCAAGATTCATGAGATTCTAAAGTGCGCTTCCTAGTAGCAGCCCTGTCCAAAGCTTTTAGCATGTTTGCTTCTATACGAGCCTTTAATTCTTCTGTCATTTTAATGTGTGCTTCTTATTTATGAGCACTCATAGCCTCATTATTCAACGCCCCAGATGTCTCCTACCAAAAAAAGAAAACATCATTATCAGTTTCTTAGAGTTTTATTATTATATATAAACAAGAAAGTAGGTACTCCATATAATCCAAATGTAATAGTTTCTAGAGAAAGCCATTAATTTTCTTTACCATTGGGTTTGAACTCAAAATTTTATGTATACACTACTTTTTTAATGAACTAATCCATACAAGTTTTTATATTCCTCTATAGCATCATCAGATTCCACTGCTCAGACAGGAACCCAAATAATGGAGACTGGCAAGAGGAGGTGTATCAAGAGGTGCTCTGCTTAAAGGTATATACTGTAATGGTTATGTGTCCTAAGTCATCTGAGCCGAGTCTTGAGTACTGGTATGAGTATGGCTTTTTATTTTTAATTAATTAACTAATTTTTATAATAGATATAAAAAGGGGATTTGATTTGATAGGTTCAAGTGCATAGACTTGGATGGGAATGGGGCAGTGATAAGGAATGCGATGCAATTATTCTATGAGGAACAGTTGCATCGTATGGAATGCATGACTGAAGAGCATGTTCTCTTTGAGGATATTTTATGTCAGATAGTTGACATGGTTGGACCAAAGGTATGCTACTTACAATTTTTTACAAAATGTGACAATGGATATCCTTACAAAGTTTTACAACCTGGATAATGGCACTACTAAATATTATTTATCAGTCGGGATAACAAAGCTCCCCGATCTTTACTAGACTTTCTCGATATTTATGGGTGTTTTCTATGGTTTTGGAGCATCGTATGCTGTTTGAACCATAAATCTTTTCTCATGGTTAATTTTTTAATGGTTGTATTACTTGTTGTGAAAGAGATGAACTTGATCTGTGCAGTAGAGGTCCAAAAATCTGTGAAAGTTACAGGTACGCGTTCATATGAATGGGATATCTTATTTTACATATGTCAGTTTCTCACCCCTGCTTTTTTGTACACTGTCTTGTGTGAAGGTTACACCTACTCTACTTTATAGAGTGACAAGGGTAACCCGCTGCCAAACTCTTATGTTTTCGGAATTTAGGTTAGTGGTGGTAGAGAGCGTGTTATACGTTGTTAAAATCATGCCCATATGTTTATCGCTTTGCGTGGTGTGCGACACTTATGAGACTGAAAAGGCTACTAGGAATTATTTGGAGAAGTTTTCTCTATGTTCGTGTTTTTCTGTTGTGGTTGGTGTATGTTTGTTCATAAATAATATATTGGGAGAGATGAACACTTTATGTTACGGTTACCACTGGGAGTCTAATGCGGCGAAGGAAATAATCACTCTTGTGTTCTATATTTGATGCTTTCATTTATTATTCTTGTTTAAAAAAAACCAAACTGATTTTGAGTTGCAGGATGATGGATATTTTACACTTGGCGACCTAAAAGGAAGCAAACTTTATGGCGGTGTTTTTAATATCTTGTTCAATTTGAACAAGTTCATGGCATATGAAAGTCGCGACGCCTTCCTCATTCGTCAGGTAGGTATCAATCAGTCAATGAGTCTAATGGTAGTGCAGATGTATTATAGGGCTTAGGACACATAACCACAAAATAGCTCTTTTTATTACATACAAAGGAATGGAATGTACCCTTTAAACTCCTACCAAGGAAAGGAATGGACCATTCTTGATGTATTAAGACTTGCTTAATGTATTAAGACACGAATCCTTTAAACTCCTACCAAGCACTGGAATGGACCATTCTTGATGGAAGGGGATTCCTTCCATTTTGTTAATTTCATTCCATAGTCATGGGATATCTTTTTCATTCCATCATGGAATGGAATGAAAATCAGTATAACCGATTTTTATGAAAAAATATTATTATATTACATATTTATTTTTGAAAATAACGAACAAATATTAATCTTGCTTTAACTTAAATGGGTTTTAATGAGTTTTATTATGTTTAATTTTCCTTAAATAAAATTACTAAAGTTAAAATGTTGAGTTTCTCAACAAATGCTAGTGTGCATCTCATTCAATCAATTTCCATAACATTGAATCATTAATCACTTATAATGTTGTTCTTTTTACAGGTGGTCGGAATTTGACCTAAAGTTGGTTGCTGATATAGGAATAGTGGGTGCTCCAAATGCATAAAAAAGCATGTTTTTAAGTGTTATTAGTGTTGGCAAGTAGTGTTGTTTGACATGTAATGTTAGGTAACTTGTTTGACATTTAAATGAAATTGAATGTTTTTATATATATTTGTTTTTTTATTATGTGTATTCATGTTATAAATGTGTATCGTAAATGCACGTCGTAAATGTGTATCGTTACTGGCAGCTGAAGTTTATGACACGTAGATGCGTGTCATCTTCATTTATGACAGGGGCTATAATGATACGCAATGCATGTCCTAAACGCGCGTCGTAAGGTTACGACATGCAAATGCGTCTCATCTTCCTTTATGACAGGGCCTTCCTTGACACGCAACGCGTGTCGTAAATGCACTTCGTAAAAGTGTGGCGTAATTATGCGTCATAATTGTGTGTCGTAAATAGACGACGTGCAAAAGTGTGTCGCATTTTGTTATGACATAGCCTTCCTTGACCCACATTTGCGTGTCGTCTGAGCGTTTTACGACACACATTGTGTTTCGTAAAAGGCTGTTTTTGTAGTAGTGGTTGTTGACCCATCAAGAGGGGAAGTGCGCCAAGGAGGATAAGTTCCGCTAGCTTGATGAGATTTTGCGCCATGGAGGAGATTTTGTGCCGTCATGGACCATCTTGGTAGATGATGCACCATCTTGATTCGTTTGTTGTGCCATGTTGATCCACCTATGCTTAGAAGATGATCATGCTCACGAAATACACCATGTTGTGCCACCATGATGAATGTTGGACCATTTGTGTTCGTGATGCGCCGACTGTGCATCTTGATGCTCCATTATGGTCAAGATGGTCCATCATGTGTTTTAATGATGCTCATGGGTTGTATGATATGGAAGAATATTCCATAAGATGTTGTATGGAGGATTGTGATTGGTTGACACCATACGTTGGCCTATAGGCCAATGGTCATGGCCCATTAGGGTTTTAGGTCTGATCCTTCAATTATAATTAGGGATGCTTGCTAGGTCATTTCATGTGTCTTGTGTCTTTTTATCCTTAGTGAGTAGAAAGAATCTCTAGTGAATTGTACTTGTAGCCTCTGTTTGAGAACTTTGAAATAAAGAATACTCCCCCTCCCTGTGGAAGTAGGTCACCTTGACCAAACCACGTAAATACTATGTCTTTGTGTGCTTTTGGTTTTGCTTGTTATCCTCATGACTTCTTAACAAGGGTCATTAGAACTTGACAAGTGGCATCAGATTTGTTCTAAGTCTTGACAAGTATCGTCTGATTTCCTAACAGGTGGTATCAAACTTTGGTTTATATTCCTGTGATTGAAGATGTCTACTCACGAGTTTGATTTGGAGAAGTTCAATGGTGCAAATGACTTCACTTTATGGAAGGTGAAGTTTAGGGCTCTTCTAGTTCGATAAGGATATGCAGCGGCACAAGTGAGAGAAGCGAAACTGCCTAAGGACATGGTGGCTGAAAGGAAGGTGGACATTCTTACAAGATCACATAGCACTATTTTTTTTGAGTTTGACATAAAAAGTAGTGAGAAAGGTTGTGGATCAATCAAGTGCATCTGGGATTTAGAAGAAGTTTTGTGACAAGTATTAGAACAATTTAATGACGAACAGATTATACTAGAAGCAACGTTTGTACACTCTTAGGTTGTCGGAGAGCACCCAAGTGAAAGATCATCTGGATTACTTCAATAGGATCATCTTGGACTTACAAGGTATGAATGTAAAGATTTCAAATGAAGATCAAGCACTTATCTTCTTATGTTCATTTCCAAATTCTTATGAGAATTTCATTGATACCATGTTGTATGGTAAGAAAACGATCATTGTGACTGACGCAAAGGATTCTTTGATGTCCAAGGAATTGAAAAGAAAAGTTTCAGTTGGAGAAGAAGTTTCCAGTTCCTATTTGTTCGAATTCAGAGGAAGAACATTAGAGAGAGGTGGAGGTAACAAAGGGAACTCAAGTTCTGAATCTAAATCCAACATCTAATGTTTTAACTACAAGGAAAAGGGGCACTTCATAAGAGATTGTCCTTTGCTGAAGAAAGGGAATAATGGTGTTGGACCAAGAAACAACAATGTTGTTATGGTTCAAGGAAATTCTGATGAAGGGGATGATGATGAAGTTTTGATAGTATGTACATCTAGTTCTGTTGATGCTTGGATCCTGGACTCAGGAGCATCTTACCATATGGCATGCAATCGTGATTAGTTCGACTCTTTCAAAGAGTGGAATGGAACAGTCAAGATGGGTGATGATTGGGTAAGCAATATCAAGGGTAGTGGAACATTGCAGATCAAGATGCACAATCATATGGTCAGGAAACTGGGTTGCTGGTTTGTCCCGAAGCTTCAAAAGAATTTATTTTTCTTGGCACTTTGGCAAAGGATGGATTGAAGTACTCTGGGGAGGGTGACTGGTTAAGTGTCTCCAAGGGTGCTCTTGTGGTAACGAAGGGAATGATGAATCATCATGAGATTTATATCCTGGATGCCAAGACGATTAGGGGAATGGTGATTGTATCCCAATCCTTGGATCAGTATGATGATGAATGGAAGTTGGGGCATCATAAGTTGGGACATGTAAGTGAGAAGGGTTTGTTTGGAGGAGATGCAACTGGAAACACTAAACTTGGTGAAGCTTGTGTTTAAGAGATACAATATAGGATGAAGTCCAATCAGTTCAACCCTCAAGCAAGGAGATCCTAAAGTGTGTTCACTCAGATTTATGAGGTCCTTCTCCTATGAAATCTCATGGTTGATGTCAATACTTTGTGACTTTTATCAATGATTACTAAAGGAAGACCTAGATGTACTTTCTAAAGACGAAGGACAAAGATGTAGTGTTTGGCTGGTTCAAGGAGTGGAAGACCATGATTTAGAAACATACCCAGAACCATGTCAGGTCACTCAGAAAGGAAAACGGGTTGGAGTTCTACAAGTCTTCGTTAAACAAAAGGTATAGTGAGGCATCACACTATACATCAAACACCACAGCAAAGCGAAGTGGAAAAATAGATGAACCAAACATTGGTGGAGCATGCTCATTGCATGAGATTATCTGCTGATTTATCGGAGCTATTTTGGTCGGAAATAGTCAACACTGGTTGCTATCTGCTAGAAAGATTTCCATCAAATGCAATTAATTGTAAGACTCCTCAAGAGGCGTGGTCTGGGAAACGCTCTAAGAATTCTGGTTTACAAAATTTTGAATACCCTGCATTAGGAGGGAAAAGCCATCATCTGTGGTGTATAGAAGAAGGAAAGGCTCCAAAATTCATCATTAGCAGAGATGTGACCTTTAAATCTGCTATATGTAACCAAATAGGATGTGGTACAAGTATTACGGGGAACGATCAGGATGCTAGCCCGAAGGTGGAGTTTGAAATAGAAACCCCACATAACTTTGTGATAAATGTGGAATAGCAGGGTGGCATGACTCAACGTAGACATGAGGAATCCCTTGAGCAACCCATGGAGGAAGTGTCTGGTGATGTTGTTGCCAAGAAAGACAACTTGGAGAAGCTTCTGGAGACCGAGTTTGTGATGAACGATTTAGGAGCTATAGATTCAAAAGTAGATAGTGAGAGTCGAAAGCTGTTTCTTTCTGTTTTTGTCGCTAAGTGTCGAAAGATGTTCAGTTTCGACATGTTATCTATTTACAAGGCATTATTGTTTCGATACGTGAAGTTTAGTCCTTGTATTTTTTTGTACGTCTGTTGTACTCTATAAATAGGGTAAGTACATAGGCTAAAGTAAGAGATTCGAACATTCATACATTACACATTGTACTCTTTCTCTCTTGTACTCTTCAGACGTTGATTTGAGCCAATCAGATCTTATTTAGATCTTTGTGTGTTGCCTTACTTTTTCTTAATCCGTTCTTTTGTTTATCAATTTTAACACACTTCATTTGGTATCAGAGTGGGATTTAGATCATCGATTTATGGTTTCTTATATTTTTCATCTTTTTGAATTGTTCATTCCGATTCAAAATTTTCCGCAGATTGAAACAGAAAACTAGTGTCAATCGATTGAGTAGTATCGATTTTGTATTCTCTGTGTTTGAACAATTAATCTCTGATTGATTTCACTCTTTGATTTCTCTTTTAACAAAAAAACTTCTTTCTTCAGAAACTATTCATCAATGGTGAATTTCAACGTGAACACGATAACAAATTTCTCTCATTTGCTTGGATCTACAACAAAAATTCCGATGTTTATTCTAGAATATTATGAACAATGGGCTGATAGAATGGAAGATTACTTAAATGGCATTGAGGAAAATCAGATGAGATCAATCAATAAAGGCCCATTTCCTCCAGAGATGTTAGTGCTGAAGACATGATCACACAAGGAAACAAGAATTAGGTGGTGGTCTTCCACCAGTGCATTACAACTATGTTCGTGGATGTTTGTTTGCAAAGAAAATTTAGGATACTCTAAAGAAGAAGTATCAAGGTAACGAGAAGACGAAGAAGAGTTCCATCACTCAACGTTTGTTGGAATTATGAGAGTTCAAGCAGACAGAAGGCGAATAAATCGAATCATATTATGATCGATTAAATGAGTTGACTTTCAAAGTTTTTTGTTATGGAGTCACACATTCAACACTAGAGTTCAATTTGACTTTTCTCATGTGATTGCGAAAGGAATGACGAAACATAAGTTTGATGATTAAAATGCAGGAGAACTTTGATGGTTACTCACTATCGAATCTTTACAACATCTTCAAAGCTCATGAAAATGAGGTTAAAGATATTGTTGAGGAAAAAAATCAAGTTTGGGTGGACCATTGGCCTTGATGTCCAAAGTTTCTACAAAGGAAGTTAAATCTGATGAAGAAGCTAAAAATGGCGAAGAAGGATTCTTGTACAATTTCTGATGACGAAGCGATTGCATACTATTCAAATAATAAAGTCAAGATGTTTTTCAAGAAGTCATTAAATGAAAAGTTCAAGAATAGTT